TTGTGGAACACATTAGGAGCTCTAAGCAATCCCTCTATATGGAGGATGCTTTCTGTGTCCAACAGCTGGCACAGCTGTCAAGAAAAGATCTCCAGGAAACTGCTAGAAAGCAGCCGACCACTTGAAGTGGTTGGCCAGTTACTTGCAGTGGTCGGCCGACCACTTTTTCTGGTCGGCAAGAAGAGAAAGTGGTCGGTAAGGGGGGAAAGGTGGTCTGCACAATGAGAGGAAGGGGTTAGCATGGTTGCAGACCACTTTCCCAACTGCAGACCAATTGTAGACCACCTAAGTGGTCGGCCAGCCACTTTTCTGGTCGGCCAGCTCAATTTTCTGGTGGGCAGGAAAAATTCTGCTTTCCAGGTCCAACTTCAAATGGCCATAACTCCTTCATCTGGACTTCTTTTCAGGTCATTCTTGTGTCCAAATTGAAGCCCCAGAAGTAATATTTTCAATGGTGGAAGATTTGCATCAAAATTCCAACTATGCAAAAAGTTATGCTCGTTTTGGTGAAGCTGTGTAGTTTTGGTCCTACCTGGATTCATGCTAAACTTCTCCCAAACTAGTTTTCTTCTCTCCTTTCCTCTTTTCTTCAACTCCAAACCCCTAAACAAGGTGTTTTGAAATATTTTTCATAGATTTTATCTCTATTTCATTCATTTTCACTTTGTCCTTGCTCGGTTTACCGAAAAGCGCAACATTTAACGAAATGCGAGCGTCGGAACATCATAGGAACTTTATTTTCAAAACATTTTGAAAGAGAGGATTTCAAGATCTAAAATCTTTTGATCAAGATTGTTTTGGTCCAAAAGGGGTATGAAGTTAGGATTTGACTCTTTCCTTGCCGAAGAAACTGAACCTTTGCCCTGCACACCTTTCACCACCAAGTAAACCATCAGTAGTGCCCAAGTCTTAAGGGCGGTAAAAAATGGGGTGTCTACACTCTTTTAAGTGCATACTTGCATCCTCATGTCATTTCAGTACTTTTAGGCACCAATTGAACTCATATAAACATGGAATGCGTTAGAAGTACATGAGGAGAATTGAATGAAGTGAAATGGATATCGAATGATGCTTCAATTGTATTTTTATTATGTGTTTTGTATAGGTGGACATCCAAGGCCTAGTGACAATGTAACCCACTATGAGTAATAACTCTATAAAGATATGTTCGAGTTATATTTATTTTTGAAAATGTTATTGTTATCAAAATTGATATATGAATGATTGAATGGCTTATTGAAACGAATGGTTTATTGAAATTGTTGTTGTTCATCGAATGATTTGTTGAAATGTTAGTTTCTTATGAATGAATGAAGTTCCCTTTTGAAAATGTATTCGTGGCATCCCTTAGTGAGGCCCTCACTTGGGAGATATAATACCATGGCCCATTGCTTAATAGGCCCTCGCCTGGGGGATACAACATCATGGCCCATTGATAAAGAGGCCTTTGCCTAGGGGAAATTAATACCATTGCCCATTGATAAAAAGGCCCTTGCCTAGGGGAAATTAATACCATGGCCCATTGGCCCTCGTCCGGGGGAAACAATATCGTGGCCCATTGGATAATTGAAACACAAAGATATCTGATGTTAGACCTTCATGGTCACATTGAATATTGAACATTGATTGACCCTTGAGGTCCCATTGTTAATGATACATGGTTACTCTACTGTATGTGCCACATTGAATTGAATGAAATGGATATTAATGTCAAGATTGACTAGAAATGTGAAATTGATATTCGTGATGGCATTGAACTTCATTCATATAATCTCTTTATTCTGTTATTACTCATTGGGCATTAGCTCACTATTTATATATATATATGTGTGTGTGTGTGTGTGTGTGTGTGTGTGTAGGTGAGCAAGATGAACATCATGGATAGAAGTTGCCTAGGAGTTACCCAATGGTCAGCCTTTCGTGGAGCTCCTGGGAAGGAGACAACTTGGACTCGTGTGGAGCCAAACAAAGTCTAAACCCCTTTTTGTTTTGAGCTCTTAGTTTGATTTTTGGTATAGGGTTTTTTTTTGTATATGTATGACTTGTTAAGTTTGGAAATTGTGAACTGGATGTTGTTTTACAACTTTTGTGATGTATGCACTTACCTATAGAATGATTGTACAATTTTAATGCGAACTCTTTTCATATACGCACGACTCAATGGATAATTTTTATGTTATGTTATACTTCGGCTAAGCCCCGTACTTTATATTTAATGGATTTTGTTTCTGGAGGTCGTAGATGATCTATGATTACTGACCGGTCATGACACTAAACCTATAGGGGCGGGTTTGGTTGTGACATATCCATAACCTATTGAGGGATCCCAAAAATTAAAATAGCTTTATGTCGGTGAGAAACTTTAAAAAAAAAACATACCTACAAAAGTTCTAAAAACCATTCGTGGCGAGGGGCACTATACATTTAAAGCTTCCGCTGGGTTTGTTGTCTATGTAAAGCTGCTTATAAAAGTTACCTATTCTAATATATAAAGTGAAGGTTGCTAGTGGTGTTTACACTTTTTGTTTCAATTTTTTCTTTCTTTTTTTTTTTTTTTTGATTCAAAGGAAAAGATGAAAACAGACAAGACGAAGGAGTTCAAAAATACAAACAGAGGGTTACTCCCTCATACCAGCCACTGCAGTCATATCTTCAATGAGGAGAGTTGTGACCTCCATAGGAGGATCCTCAAGGATTTTTACATGCTCAGCTTGGGCTACACCTAAATCAGCTAATCTATCTGCCACTTTGTTGCCTTCTCTTAAGGTGTGGAGGATTGAACAGTGGCATCTCTAAAGGAGGAATTTGGCATCTTCAATGAGGGCCTTGAGAGGAGAGTTTGGGTTTGGCCCTTGTTGAATCTGAAGCATAGCTTGTTCAGAATTTGTTTCAATTACGACATTGGTCAGTCCTTTCTGGAACAAGATGGTGAGTCCACGGTAGATGGCCCAAATCTCTGCTTCCAAGCATGTGCAGTGTCCCAAATTTCCATAGTAGCCCCATATCCAAATGCCTGTATCATCCCGTAAGAGGCCTCCATAACCTGCTTGACCTGGATCCCTCTTTGAACAGCCATCTGCGTTAAGCTTCAAAGTGCTTACAGTAGGAAAACACCATTTGATTAGCTTAGGTTAAGAAAATTGGGGTGAAGAGGAGATTGAAAAGCCTCATTAATTTCATGCACATAATCCCTGATGAGCTTAAGATTGGTATGAATTGGACTCATAAGTTGATCAAAGACCATTTGATTTTGATCTTTTCAGATCTGCCAGAGTGTAACAACAAATATCAAAAACCATTTTGTACCAGCCATTTCTATTTTGCTCTTTTAGTTAAAGGACACCCAATCAAACAAGGGTAGTGTTGCTCCTTCCTCCCACCAAGATTGATTTTGAATGTGAATCTAGAGTGCCTTAGAGTGAGCACAGTCTCTAAGAAGGTGCAACATGTCTTCACTAAAGTGTCCACATCTGGGACACAAATCTGAAGAGGACAAATTTCTCACAAGGTGCATGTGATTGGTCAGCAATCTGCCTTTTAGGATAAGCCAAAGGAAAAATTTCAGTTTATGAGGGAGTTTGAGTTTCCAGATCCAAAGCCAATCCCTGCCATCCACAACAGGATTAGTAATAAACTGAAAAGTAGAGTTAGTAGAGAATTTACCACAATTAGATCCACTCCAAGAAGGAGTATCAGGAAATGTTACAAAACTGGGCCTGTAAATTCTAACAATTTCAGAGAGATCATGAGGAGTAACAAGAGTTGCAAGGCTATCCATGTTCCAATTACCATCCTCATCCAAGATTAGCTTAACTTTATCAAAGTCATTGGTTCGGTAGTTGTTATTTGTCAGGGCTAAGGGTTTAGAACCACACCACCAGTCATTCTAAAGGGAAATAGTTTCACCATTACCAACCACCCATTTAACCCCACATCTAAGAGTTTCCCTGGTTTTGCAAATGCCTCTCCAAATGTGGGAAGCTTGAGAATTCTGTGGCCAACTAAAGAAGCTATGATGGTGCAAATATTTGGAATGAAGTATTTGGCACCAAAGTTTTGATCTATCACTCAAAAATTTCCATCCCAGTTTAGTAAAAAGAGCAGCGTTATGGTCCTGAGCCATTCTAATACCTAAACCACCCTCGGATTTATTGTTGCAAACACTTTCCCAGTTAACTAAATGGACTTTTTTATGAGTTTCAGTGTCCCCCCAAAGAAATTTTCTATTGAGCTTATCAATCTCATCACAGGTGTGTCTAGGAAGTTCCATAGTTTGCATGGTGTAAGAAGGGATGACAGATGTGACAGCTTGAACAAGGGTGGCTCTGCCTGCTAAGTTAAGAGTTTGGGTTTTCCAACCTGCCAATTTGGTTTTCATCTTCTCCAGAATTTCACTGAAAGTGGCCTTAGTGACTCTCTTGTGAAGTAAGGGGGAACCAAGGTATTTGCCCAGATCTTGCGTTAGGGGAACGTCACTATGGATGCTAAGGGACTTAGCAAAATTTCGATGGATATTGGGAGAGACAAAGAGCTTAGACTTGGCATGATTAATATTTTGACCAGAAACTGCACAAAATTCAGAAAGAACCTTAAAAATTGTATCACAGTTCATGTGGTCTGCTTGGGCAAAAAGGATAAGGTCGTCCGCAAAAAACAGATGGGATAATGGAAGGCTGGCTTTAGACGCCTTAATGTCTTTCCAAGAGCCTTCTCTCACTTTAGTGTTGATCATATTGGATAATCTCTCCATACAGAGCACAAAAAGGTAGGAAGAAAGGGGGTCACCCTGACGAAGCCCTCTCCCATTATGAATGCCCTCAATAAGTTCACCATTCCAAAGGATAGAAGAATGCTTATTAGAGACACAACTCATGATTAACTCAATCCAGGAATCATTCAATTTGAAATCAAGACAAACGATCATAAGCTTTTTCTAAATCAATCTTGAAGATCATACCACCTGTTTTACCTTTCTTATGTCTTAAGGAATGCAAGATTTCCTAAGTGATGATAATATTATTAGTGGTACTCTTACCAAGGATAAAGCTACTTTGGTTGGGACTAACCAGATTATCAAGAAGAGGTCGGATTCTACCCACTTTAATTTTTGTAATGATTTTATAAGAGACATTACATAAACTAATGGGTCTGAATTGTCTAATGGACTCGGGATTGTTAACTTTAGGAATATGCACAATAAGAGTCTCATTAATGATAATAGGGATCTGTTTAGAAAGGAAACAATTATTCACAGAGTCACACACAGGTTGAGCCACAAGATGCCAATATTTGTGATGGAAAATGGCCTGAATGCCATCTTTGCCAGGGGCTTTAAAGGCACCTATATCTTTAACAGCTCTCAAGATCTCAGAGTTAGACACAGGTTGAGTTAATCTAGCATTGTCTTTAGGAGTGAAATGATTATGAGAAATATTATTCCAATGATCCAGATGAATTATAGGGCTAGAACTAAATAGATTCTGAAAATAATCAAGAAATATAACTTTAATACCAACAGAATCAGTAAACCAGTTACTAGATTGATCCTTAAGAGCATTAATTTTATTTTTTCTTCGCTTAGCAATAGTGGAGATATGAAAATACCTAGTATTTCTATCCCCTAGCAGAATGTGTTTAGATCTAGCTTTCTGGAACCACAAAATTTCTTCTTGATACAGAGTAGAACTGTATTGAATAACGAGTTCTTTCTCAAGACTAAGGAGACTATGAGAAAAATTGTTAGCTAAACATTTTTGGATGCCTTCAATACGGGCCAAAAGGTATCTTTTCTTTTTAAAAATATTACCAAAGACCTCTCTGTTCCATTCTTTAACTTTACAGGTAAAGACAGTAGTGGAATCAATGAGGTTATGGTTCATACTAGCCCACGAAGAATTAATAACATCAATGAGACCTGGGTGTGTCATCCAGGCAGCTTCAAATCGAAAAGGCCTATTAAGGGGGTTGAGTTGATGTATACCTTGAGTGTAAACTAGAAGGGGGGAACGGTGTGAGTATGTTCTGGGGAGGATTCGGACAGTGGCCTCCGGGAACATAGTTCTCCATTCCGATTTGCACATAGCCCTATCTAGGCATTCCATTGTGTTGGCAAGCCCTTTTCGGTTATTAGTCCATGTCATACTAGGACCAGAACTCCCCAGATCCATTAAGTTGCAATTGTTGACTCTGTCTAGGAATTTCTGATTTCGGACAATAGGATTTCTGGAAGTGAAGCTCCTTCTTTCTCCCTGAGAAGCAAAATCATTGAAGTCCCCTGCGACTAACCAAGGCTTCCCCATAGTGCCAGCCACATCTTCTAGATTATCCCAGAGTTGGTCTCTCATAACAGGAGAAAGGCTAGCAAACACAGCAGCTAAGACCCATTCATCATAGTCAGCTTTATAGATAGTCGCATGGATGGCTTGAGAAGTGGCAGAGGACGCACGCACAGTAACTTGGCTTGTATCCCATACAATCCATATCCCCCCCACACGACCAACAGGGTCAACAATAGTTGAGGCTGTGAAGCCCAATCGATTGAAGAAATTGCCCATTTTACTGAAAGAAACCTTAGTTTCCAACAGAACTAGAATTTCAGGCTTGTGGGTTCTAATAATTTCAGTGAGGTTGCGCTTGAAATTGTTGTTGCCGGCTCCCCGGCAGTTCCAAAATAAAAGACGTAGCAAATCCATAGATAGGTAAGTTAGAGGGGAGTCAGACACCAGATCTTTAACGATGCTGCGAATCCATCGCCGATCATCTGCTTCTGGCCTCATTAAGGCCATCTGAATCGAGTGGGCTGGTTATGGGTTGAGCCCTTCCCAACTTAGAACGATTGTCATGGGAATCTGTTCTATTCACCAAGCGAAAGCGACTAGGTGAGCAACTTCTGTTTCTGGTCCTAATAACAGGGCCACCACACTGGTCTGATTCTGGTGGTCTTCCACCTCGGTCATCTGTTCGGTCGGCTCCTGGTCCATGTCGAGCTTCTCCCGGATCAGGTGGGTCACTAGCTTTTTCCTGAAGCTCCGAAGGGTTGTGAAGTAGGGTGTGAGTTGTAAGTGAGGTAACAGAGGGGGTTGGGGAGGGTATAGCTTTGACCATAGCTAGATCTATAGACCTTGGAAAGGGGGTGTCAGATGGACTCTGTATGGATAGCGTGTTTGCAGAGGATGAAAAGACCAAAGCTTGATCACAGTGAGGGGGATCTGCCCTGGCTTCGATAGGAAGATATGGTGTACTGACTTCAAGATTTTGCGGTGAAGTGAAGGGTTGTGAAGTAGGGTGTGAGTTGTAAGTGAGGTAACAGTGGGGGTTAGGGAGGGTATAGCTTCGACCATAGCTAGATCTATAGACCTTGGAAATGGGGTGTCAGATGGACTCTGTATGGATAGCGTGTTTGCAGAGGATGAAAAGACCAAAGCTTGATCACAGTGAGGGGGATCTGCCCTGGCTTCGATAGGAAGATATGGTGTACTGACTTCAAGATTTTGCGGTGAAGTATGATGCAGAAAGTGTGTAGTGGAATCCATTGGCTGGGGGGGTTTAACCCTACCTTTTCTTTGCCTTTAGGGTCATTGGGTTGGGTTGGGCTTGGCACCTTAATGGGCTGGCTCTGCTCATTCGAAGAACCCGATTTTTTAGTTTTCCTGCCCCTTTGGGAAGTCTTAGAATTAATTGGGTCCTCCTCCAAGGCTTTGAATTTGTTGTCCTTAGAAACTGGGCCAGACAGGTTGGGGCCCGCTTGGGCTGTATTGGTCTTCTACCCTTTTTCTTGGCAAGTATCCATGGGCCAAATGGATCCGTCTCTCCTGTCCCAGATTGTAAATGGTCATTGGCTTTTGTCATGGGTTTGTCAGGGGTACCATCACCGGAAACGGCTATATTATTCGCCGCCGGTTGGACGATGGTATGTCTGAAACAGTAGGCCTCTTTTCTGTGATCTATTCTACCACAAATGACGCAAAAAGAATGGAGAGATTCATATTCGATGTTGTAATATTGATCCTCCAAAATAAATTTTGGTTGCAGTGGTTGACTGAGATCTATTTCTATACAGACACGAGCGAATTTACCCCTCGTCGCCATGGCCGTAGTCTAGTCGATCTTCAGTGGCTTTCCTATAGCTTTGACGATAGCAAAGAGGACATTTTCCTGATAATATTCAATCGGAAGCTCTGGAAACCGAACCCAAACAGCGGTTGTGGTTTCAAAGGCTTCCGATGGTCTGAAATTCGGCTCCCATCTTCGCACAGTTAAATAGTGATCCATGATCACCCATGGTCCACCCGTGAACACATGAGTACAGTCTGCTTGTTCAGAAAATTTAAAAAGAAAGTAATTGTTCCCCAAATCGATAACATTAAATTCACTCTGCAGACCCCAAATATTCTTCACACGGTTACAAAGCATTTTATACCCAATGGACTTACCCAGAAGTCTGATAATCAAAGCATTTCTCTACGGTTGTCGAATTTTATCCAACAGTTTCTTAGGTAAGGATACTTTAGGGACACCCAACTGGTCGGAGCAGGAGTGTTGGATTTCATGTTAACCATCAATGTCAGTGTCCTCTTCATCAGAGGAGAGGATTTCGACTCGATTATCAAAAATATAGTCACCTCGTCTGGACTGGTTCAGTGCATCCTTGAAGGATTTGGGAGGCAGAGGGGTAATAGATCCCAAGTCAGCAGATCTATGGGGAGGGAGACCCTCTTTAGACACTTCACAGTCCATGTTTGTCTCGTTGACGAAATCAGAGCTTTTTATTTTTTTGGTGCTGCGGATCAGGTGATCTTCCTCTTCAGTCGTCTTCTCAAGGTTGAGAGGGGCTACAGGAACACTGGTTTGGTTCTCCATTCCAAATTGTTTTGCTCAATTTTTTCTTTCTGAAAATAGGCCTCAGAAATTATTTCATTTCCATACCTAACTATTTTTTGGTCAGTTATTAAAACACCAAAACCAAAACCAACTTCAAAGTGCCTCAACAACAAGAGTGTGGTGTTTCACTATGTGTTTGTGTGCAAAAGTGTGAAGAATAGGACCTTTCAAGCACAAAAATGAAGTGAAATGAAGAAGTATAGAGATAGATGATATGTATAGCTCAAGCAACTTTTTCTGAACCTAAGGCATGAGGGAAGAGGTTCTCTTATATAGAAAAACGAAGTTTAAGCTTGTCGAACACATTAGGAGCTCTAAGCAATCCCTCCATACACGTGTATGGAGGATGCTTTCTGTGCCCAACAGCTGGCACAGCTGTCAAGAAAAGATCTCCAAGAAACTGGTGGAAAGTTGCCAACCACTTGAAGTGGTTGGCCAGTTACTTGCAGTGGTCGGCCGACCACTTTTTCTGGTCGGCAAGAAGAGAAAGTGGTCGGAAAGGGGGGAAAGGTGGTTTGCACAACGAGAGGAAGGGGTTAGCATGGCTGCAGACCACTTTTCCCAACTGTAGACCAGTTGTAGACCACCTAAGTGGTCGGCCAGCCACTTTTTTGGTCGGCCAGCTCAATTTTCTGGTCGGCAGGAAAAATTCTACTTTCCAGGTCCAACTTCAAATGGCCATAACTCCTTCATCTGGACTCCTTTTCAGGTGATTCTTGTGTCCAAATTGAAGCCCCGGAAGTAATATTTTCAATGGTGGAAGCTTTGCATCAAAAAAATTTTTTTGTAACCCTTAGAAATGGAGGAGAGTGCTGGTTTTAAAGAGGGAGAGAGGCCAAGGAAAGGGGGGGAAAAACAAATTCAAATTTCCCCCCCAAAAGGCAGCCCCTCGGATACAGGATCTGGGGGGAAACAGCTGGCACAGCTGGAATATACTTGGAGAGAGGATCATGGCCGGCCAGGTTCAAAAGGTTCAGGGGGCCGACCGGCCAGGGGTCAAAAGGGTCAATCAAAATTGCTGGCCGGCCACCCCAAAAAGGTGGCCTCCAATGTGTGCACAACACAAATATGTGGTCAAAACCCAGAAAATGTGAACCAGGAGAGAGAAAAACCAACTTTTTAGAGGGATTCAAAAGGGTTAGATACAATTACTGGCTGACCTATTCATATTGGTTGCCTCCCAGGTGTGTACAACACAAATATGGGGTTTAGGGCTAAAGAAAGTGGCCCGGGAGTGGTCAACATTAGCTTTCTAGTGAGGAAAACGGGCGACGAAGAGCGATGAAGAAATAAAACTGGATTTTTAGAAAAATTGCTGGCCTCCCACCCTCCTACAAGCTTTCTAACAATGAAAATAAGGTCTCCACCAAAAATGAACCAAAACGGATGCAAAACGGAGGTTCGGGGACCGAAACGCGCGGCCTGGGGCCCCGAAAATGGGCTGTTAAGCACCGGAGGTGGCATTTGACCACGAAGTTGGTCTCTCGAGCCACAGTGTTCCTCAAAAGGGAGGAAATAAGGTTTATACCAAAAACCGGAGCAAACAGAGGTGGTTAGGAAGTCCCGAACCGAGGCACACGGCCGTCGGCTCCAAAAAATCGGAAACCGGGCTCCAAACGGGAAAAATGGCCTACGACCACGAAACGTAGCCCACGGCCACTGAGAGATGATCTACGAGACCTCTCCCTCCCTTCGGGAAGAGAAAACAGAGAAAACAGAGCCTGAATCGCAAACCGATGTAGGGCACGAAAGAGTCCGGAAGTCCGGAGGCAAGACTTGCAGCCGGGACTCTGAAACTTTTGAACGAGCACAATATGCAATATCACCGAGCGCTCAATCAGTGACGTCTGAGTCTTAAGGTCGGTCAAAAATGGGGTGTCTACACCCTGCCATTCACAATAAGATTAGTAATAAACTGAAAAGCAGAGTTAGTAGAGAATTTACCACAATTAGATCCATTCCAAGAAGGAGTATCAGGAAATGTTACAAAACTGGGCCTGCGAATTCTAACAATTTTAGAGAGATCATGAGGAGTAACAAGAGTTGCAAGGCTATCCATGTTCCAATTACCATCCTCATCCAAGATTAGCTTAACTTTATCAAAGTCATTGGTTCGGTAGTTGTTATTTGTTAGGGCTAAGGGTTTAGAACCACACCACCAGTCATTCTAAAGGGAAATAGTTTCACCTTTACCAACCACCCATTTAACCTCACATCTAAGAGTTTTCCTGGTTTTGCAAATGCCTCTCCAAATGTGGGAAGCTTGAGAATTCTGTGGCCAACTAAAGAAGCTGTGATGGTCCAAATATTTGGAATGAAGTATTTGGCACCAAAGTTTTGATCTATCACTCAAAAATTTCCACCCCAGTTTAGTAAAAAGAGTAGCGTTATGGTCCCGAGCCATTCTAATACCTAAACCACCCTCAGATTTACTGCTGCAAACACTTTCCCAGTTAACTAGGTGGACTTTTTTACGAGTTTCAGTGTCCCCCCAAAGAAATTTTCTATTGAGCTTATCAATCTCATCACAGGTGTGTCTAGGAAGTTCCATAGTTTGCATGGTGTATGAAGGGATGACAAATGTGACAGCTTGAACAAGGGTGGCTCTGCCTGCTAAGTTAAGAGTTTGGGTTTTCCAACCTGCCAATTTGGTTTTCATCTTTTCTAGAATTTCACTGAAAGTGGCCTTAGTGACTCTCTTGTGAAGTAAGGGGGAACCAAGGTATTTGCCCAGATCTTGCGTTAGGGGAATGTCATTATGGATGCTAAGGGACTTAGCAAAATTTCGATGGATATTGGGAGAGACAAAGAGCTTAGACTTGGCATGATTAATATTTTGACCAGAAACTGCACAAAATTCAGAAAGAACCTTAAAAATTGTATCACAGTTCATGTGGTCTGCTTG